GGGTGCCACACATTAATTTTTTCCATTATTTCTTGGGGAAATTTTAACTTACTAACGATAATTTTGATAACGATAGCTCTCGGGAACGGATTAATAGCGTTATTTGGGAGGGTCCACTGTACAGTGGACCCCCGCATAACGATGGCATCACATAGCGATTATTTCGCATACCGCTTACTTTAATTGCAAAAATTTTGCCTCGCATACCGCTTAAAAACCCGCTTACCGATTTCGTCCGAGACGCTTCCAATGTGCGGCCTGAGCCACGCTCACATGTTCCGCCGGTGGCATTGTTTACCAGCCAGCCTCCGCAATAACATCCAAGCATACAATGGGAAATTTCGTATTATTACAGTGTTTTCGGTGCTGTTTCTGGAAAATAAGTGACCATGGGCCCCAAGAAAGCTTCTAGTGCCAACCCTGGGTAAAAAGGGTGAGAATTAGTATGGAAATTAAGAAAGTTTTGAAGGGTTTGGGGCTAACCCTGAGAAGCCTATGCCAGTTGTGGAATCCATTGTGCCTACTTCAAAAATTAAGGAAATGTGTGCACAGTGGGTTGAACTGCAAACCTTTATGGATGAAAATCACCCTGACACAGCTGTTGTAAGCCGTGCTGGTGACTATTTCAATGACAATGTTGTGGCCCATTTTAGACAAATCGTAAAGGAACGGGAGGTACAGAGCTCTATGGACAGATTTGTTGTGCGACAGAGGTCCAGTGACTCTCAAGCTGGTCCTAGTGGCATTAAAAAGAAGAAGGGAAGTAACCCCGGAAAAGGACTTGCTACCTCAAGTCCTAATGGAAGGGGATTCCCCTTCTAAACAGTAAGAAGATAATGCTCTCCCCTCCTCCCATCCCATCAATCATCACCAGATCTTCAATAAAAGTAAGTGTCATGTAAGTGTGCATGCCTTTTTCAGTTTGTGTGTATTAAAATTAACATTTCATGTGGTAAAAAAATTTTTTTTTCATACTTTTGGGTGTCTTGCACGGATTAATTTTATTTCCATATTTCTTATGGGGAAAATTCATTCACATAACGATTATTTCGCATAACGATTAAACCCCCCTTGCACGGATTAAAATCGTTAACCGGGGTCCACTGTATCTGAAAACATTCACTTCTTCCATACTCCTCCTCCCCAATTTGATATCCCAATTTTTTTTTATCTAAATCATTTGATACCCTCATCACCTTACTCTTTTCTATGTTCACTTTCAACTTTCTACCCTTTTCACACATTCCCAAACTCATCCACTAACCTTTGCAATTTTTCTTTAGAATCTCCCATAAGCACAGTATCATCAGCAAAAAGTAACTGTGTCAATTCCCATTTTGAATTTGATTCCCCAAAATTTAATCCCACCCCTCTCCCGAACACCCTAGCATTTACTTCCTTTACAACCCATCTATAAATATATTAAACAACCATGGTGACATTACACATCCCTGTCTAAGACCTACTTTTACCAGGAAGTAGTCTCCCTCTCTTCTACACACCCTAACCTGAGCCTCACTATCCTCATAAAAACTCTTTACAGCATTTAATAACTTACCACCTATTCCATATACTTGCAACATCTGCCACATTGCTGCTCTATCCACTCCATCATATGCTTTTTCTAAATCCATAAATGCAATAAAAACTTCCCTACCTTTATCTAAATACTGTTCACATATATGCTTCAATGTACAAGTCTCTCTCAACATTCACGTTTTCAGCTTTCGCGGGCTTCACACATTCGCGAATTCCCAACCGCCAAATTCCCAACTGCCAAATTCCCAGCCGCCAAATCATATTCAAGTTTCCCGCCACCTGCGAGTCCCTACTACCCTCCCTCCTACCCCCGCAACTGACAGCCAGCCCTCCCACCACTCAGTGTGGTGAGTGTTTTCTTTGTTCATTATTTGCTATTAAACTGCAGTATAAATAATGTAAACCCATTCATGACTGCATATTGGAATGGTTATTCGGACAGGTATTAGACGGTGACATGTGTTTACTCTTGAACACAGCAAAGAATCAAAACATTTCTGCTACTGCTAATAATAACAATAGTAATAATAATAATAATAATAATAATAATAATAAATACGATATAATTGAAGAAGGAAGTTGTACAAAAATACGAGGGAGTGCTTGACACATCGTCAGTGTGGCTTTGTTTATGCTGGAGTGAGCATTAGTCTCCCTGCTCTTCCAAACATTTTACAATAATTCATTGTGTTTGGTACTTGTAGATTGAGTGCAACTGGAGTGGTAGAGGCAGCTGTTGAGGCAGCTGTTGAGGCAGCTGTTGAGGCAGCTGTTGAGGCAGCGATTGAGGCAGCTGTTGAGGCAGCGATTGTGGCAGTGGGTGAGGCAGCGATTGAGGCAGTGGGTGAGGCAGCTGTTGAGGCAGCGATTGAGGCAGTGGTTGAGGCAGCTATTGAGGCAGTGGGTGAGGCAGCTGTTGAGGCAGTGATTGAGGCAGTGGGTGAGGCAGCTGTTGAGGCAGCGATTGAGGCAGTGATTGAGGCAGCTGTTGAGGCAGCGATTGAGGCAGCTGTTGAGGCAGCAATTGAGGCAGCTGTTGAGGCAGCGATTGAGGCAGTGGTCACTGAGGCAGCTGTTGAGGCAGCGATTGAGGCAGTGGGTGAGGCAGCTGTTGAGGAAGCGATTGAGGCAGCTGTTGAGGCAGCTGTTGAGGCAGAGATTGAGGAAAACTGTTGAAGCAGCGACTGAGGCAGTGGGTGAGGCAGCTGGTGAGGAAGCGATTGAGGCAGTGGTATTTAATAACATACATGTTATTAATAATAATAATACATGTTATTAATATGTACTATTATTATTTATAACATATATGTTTTTAAAAATACCACTGCCTCAACCGCTGAATTATTGTGAAATGTTTGGAAGAGCAGGAGACTAATGCTCACTCCAGCATAAACAAAGCCACACTGACGATGTGTCAACCACTCCCTCGTATTTTTGTACAATTTCCTTCTTCAATTATATCGTATTATTATTATTATTATATTATTATTATTTATTGTTATTATTATTTATTATTATTATTATTATTTTTAAATTTTTATTATTATTATTATTACTATTGTTATTATTAGCAGTAGCAGAAATGTTTGATTCTTTGCTGTGTTCAAGATTAAACACATGATGTCACCGTCCAATACCTGTCCGAATAACCATTCCAATATGCAGTCATGAATGGGTTTACATTATTTATACTGTAGTTTAATAGCAAATAATGAACAAACAAAACACTTACCACACTGAGTGGTGGGAGGGCTGGCTGCCAGTTGCTGGGGTCAGAGGGAGGGTAGTAGGGACTCGCAGTGGTTGGGGAAGTGGTGGAGGCATTGGTGGAGTCTGTGGTATTTAATAACATACATGTTATTAAAGCATAACATGTATATATTTAGTACAATTTACGACGTTTTCATGTATTTTATGATTGTTCATGGTTCAACAAGTTAAGGAAGCAGTATTGTATTATATTTCCCTACAATATATTGGGGCACCAAACATTCACGGTTTTTCAACATTCGCGAGGCTCTTGATCCCTAACCCCCCGCGAATGTTGAGGGAGACCTGTAAACACTTGATCTACACATCCCCTACCCACTCTGAAACCTCCCTTTCTCATCCGCTCCTACATTTTGTCTTACCTCTAATTCTTTCAATTATAACCCTACCGTACACTTTTCCTGGTTATACTCAGTAAAAATTATTCCTCTATAATTTTTACAGTCTCTTTTGTCCCCTTTCCCTTTATATAAAGGGACTATACATGCTCTCTGCCAATCCCTAGGTACCTTCCCCTCTTTCATACATTTATTAAACAAAAGTACCAACCACTCCAACACTATATCCCCCTGCTTTTAACATTTCTGTCATGATCCATCAGTTCCAGCTGCTTTACCCCCTTTCATTCTACGTAATGCCTCACGTACCTCCCCCACACTTATATTCTGCTCTTCTTCACTCCTAAAAGATGGTATACCTCCCTGACCAGTGCATGAAATTACTACCCCTGTTTCTTCCTTAACATTTAAAAGTTCCTCAAAAAAATTCTCGCCATCTACCTAATACCTCCATCTCCCCATCTACTAAAATCCCCTACTCTGTTTTTAACTGACAAATCCATACTTTCCCTAGGCTTTCTTAACTTGTTTAACTCGCTCCAAAATTTTTTCTTATTTTCATTAAAATTTCTTGACAGTGCCTCTCCCACTCTATCATCTGCTCTCCTTTTGCACTCTCTCACCACTCTCTTTACCTTTCTTTTACTCTCCATATACTCTGCTCTTCTTATAACACTTCTGCTTGTAAAAAACATCTCGTAAGCTACCTTTTTCTCTTTTATCACACCCTTTACTTCATCATTCCACCAATCACTCCTCTTTCCTCCTGCCCCACCCTCCTATAACCACAAACTTCTGCCCCACATTCTAATACTGCATTTTTAAAACTATTCCAACCCTCTTCAACCCCCCCACTACTCATCTTTGCACTAGCCCACCTTTCTGCCAATAGTCGCTTATATCTCACCCGAACTTCCTCCTCCCTTAGTTTATACACTTTCACCTCCCTCTTACTTGTTTTTTGCCATGTTCCTCTTTTCCCATCTACCTCTTACTTAACTGTAGCTACAACTAAATAATGATCCGATATATCAGTTGCCCCTCTATAAACATGTACATCCTGGAGTCTACCCATCAACCTTTTATCCACCAATACATAATCTAATAAACTACTTTCATTACGTGCTACATCATACCTTGTATATTTATTTATCCCTTTTTTCATAAAATATGTATTATTATTTCCAAATCTCTTTCTACACATAGCTCAATTAAGGCTCCCATTTACATTTACCCCTGGCACCCCAAATTTACTACTACTCCCTCCATAACATTTTTACCCACTTTAGCATTGAAATCCCCAACCACCATTACTCTCACACTTCATTCAAAACTCCCCATGCATTCACTCAACATTTCCCAAAATCTCTCTCTCTCCTCTACACTTCTCTCTTCTCCAGGTGCATACACGCTTATTATAACCCACTTTTCACATCCAATCTTTATTTTACTCCACATAATCCTTGAATTAATACATTTATAGTCCCTCTTTTCCTGCCATAGCTTATCCTTCAACATTATTGCTACTCCTTCTTTAGCTCTAACTCTATTTGAAACCCCTGACCTAATCCCATTTATTCCTCTCCATTGAAACTCTCCCACCCCCTTCAGCTTTGTTTCACTTAACCCTTTGACTGTCGCAACTCCTAATCCTGAGGTGTCTCCTGGTGTCGCAAAATTTAAAAAAAAAAATAATTTTTTCTTATGAAATGATAGAGAATCTTTTCCCGATTGTAATGACACCAAAAAAACGAAATTTGATGGAAAACTGACGGAATTATACTCTCGCGAAGTTAGTGACCTCGGCGCTGTTTACAAATCGGCGATTTTGCCCACTTTGAGCCCTATTTTTGGCTAATTCCATTGTTCCAGTCGCCCAACCTCATAGCTATTTCTCTAGAACTCCGTTTTTTCTATTGATTGAGTACAAGAAACTGCCCATTTACCGATTTCAACTACCTAATAATGTGGTCAGAAATTTGCAATTTGGCCAATTTCACGAAAATTAAAAATATGACAATTTCAAAATAAGGTCCAGAATGAACAATGCCAACATTCCTGGCTCTAAAATAACATTTTCTTTGTTCATCAGTCATGTCTCCAGGCCCCTCTGATATTACTCTTGCTTTCTATTTTGAATTTTTATTCAAACAAAAAATAGAAGACTTACTATTATGCAGACTACTGCAATACTGTAATAATTGTATAAATAACATCAACCCATTCATGACTGCATATTAGAATGGCTAGTTGGACATTTATTGAACAATGGCATCATTTGCTTACTTTTGAACATTGGCAAAAATCAAACATTTCCCCTACTTTGAGCTCCATTTCTAGGTTTTTTTTATAGTAAAATCAATAAAAATCACCTCTATTTCTATAATATGTTTTCCATTCTATCAAATGAGGCCAAGAAAACGAGAATACAACCATAAATACTATACGAAAATAGACCACAAAGTCGGCATTTTAATTAAAAAAAATGGTCGGAGTTTTTTTTTTCTCATTATGCACTGCGTGCTCCAGGATTTTTTTTATATGGTGCACACTGACCACACAGACCCATTCTCTCACATGTGGGCCTACCAGCTTTCTCCTGCTTGATTTTAAGCCGCTAGAATTTATGAGTATATATACGTCAAACACGGTACCTCGTAAGACGTATATATACGGCCGCGACAGTCAAAGGGTTAAAGCCAGGACATCCAGCTTCTTCTCATTCATAACATCCACAATCATCTCTTTCTTATCATTTGCACAACATCCACGCACATTCAGACTTCCCTCTTTGACAATTTTCTTCTTCTTATTCTTTTTTAGTAATCTTTACAGGAAAAGGGGTTTACTAGCCCATTGTTCCTGGCATTTTAGTTGACTTACAACACGCATGGCTTACGGAGGAAAGATTCTTATTCCACTTCCCCATGGATATAAAAGGAAAAGTAATAAGACCAAGAACTATTAAGATAAAATCAAAGAAAACTCAGATGAGTGTGTATAAATAAATGTGTACATGTATGTGTAGTGTGACCTAAGTGTAAGTAGAAGTAGCAAGACATACCTGTAATCTTGCATATTTATGAGACAGACAAAAGACATCAGCAATCCTACCATCATGTAAAACAATTACAGGCTTTCGTTTTACACTCACTTGGCAGGACGGTAGTACCTCCCTGGGTGGTTGCTGTCCACCAACCTACTACCTGATTATTATTTATTTAAATTATAATAGGTACGGCAAGTTGCATGATATGAGTAACATTAATTCTGCTGTTGTGTTGTCTTATATTTTTTTATGTTTATTGTGATAGTAATTGCTATATGATTCTCCTCAGCCTGTTGCTAAGAAGCAGAATAACCTAGAAATGAACAAGGACTACGAATTATCACTCCTGGTTAAGAAAGTGAAAAACAAAACAAATATTACTATGAAGAAACAAGGGATGTAAAATATTTTTGATGATCTACCAGTCAACTGTACTCTTTAGTAGCATAAAGTGCATTACTGTACTTTTCTGTATTAAGAATTTTTTATGTTTTTTTTTTAAAATTTAGGAATATTCATATGATATAAGAGATGTGACAGTGACTATCCCAATTTAGACTTTACATACATTGTAAATTTTAAAAACTTGTAAAAATATAACTGTACTTGCAGAATGAAATGCATTTTGGGTAGTTTACCTCAAAACAATAAATATGAGTATATTTTACTACCTTTCTGTAAATGTTTTCTTTCTGTACAGTTCTAAAGTTAAATATTTTCAATTAAATTTTACATACCAGGTAAAAGGTGATATTCTAGGATACAAATTGTAGAACACAGGGTATGCATGTATTTAATATGTTGTGTGCCTGTGTTCGGGGATTTTGGGTCTTGCAGTGAATGATGGAGAGATCCATTTTTAAGCACTACTGTCTCATTGTGTTCCACATTTTTTTGTATCTTAGTATCTGTGATATTTTGGATCACTGCAACAGCCACCATGAAGGAACTAAAAATGAGCATTTAGCTTGAAATAAAGCTAGAAGTGGAGACGGTCTCTCATTTAACCTAAGCAAGTCATGCATGCATTCAAGAGAAATATATAGTTTATCAACTTAATACCCTTCAATGGGGTACCTTGATGCTGGTAATGAGCTCATGATCTGAGAGTTGAAGCTACTCTTCCCTTGGATCAAACTTGATTATGTTGAATTCCCACATCACTGTATGACCATTATGGCCTTAGCAAGTTACCATGAATACAGTAAACCCTCTTACAATGTGATTTCACATAGCACAATTCTATTGCAATGTAATTTAAAAAGTGCAACCAAAAATTTTTGAGCGAACAAAAATCTTGACTGAAATGTAGTATCAGCACACCTCTGGCAAGACAATGATGGAGTAAGTGATAGTGAAAGTGTTTATTTTTTGGGTCGTTCTGCCTTGGTGGGAGACAGCCGGTATTTAAAAAAAAAAAAAAAAGAAATTTGGGTAGTACACTCAATAAGTTTTCTAATCTGCTGGCTGAAAGCCACAAGTTGTAGAGCTTCCTGCCATTCTTTCTAGCAAGAGCAATTTATGTTCATTTAGACAGCCTTTTTTCCTTAACTAATTAATGTTTTCCAAAATTTATACAACTTGTAAAATGCTTAATTTATAAGGCAGGGTGACCCGTAAAAGAAGAAACACTTTCGTCATCATTCACTCCATCACTGTCTTGGCAGAGATATGCCTACACCACAGTTATAAAAATGCAACTTATCAACACCTGTATAAAAAGCTTGAAGAAAATATTCAGTGTACATTTATATGATGCAACCATGAAAGTTCAGTATCATATAGTATCTTAATTATACTGTACTTACACATTTCCTATGCCTTTTACTGTAGAAATGCATACTGGATCAGCTACTGGCTATGATAAACTAGACACATGTGCAACACTTGGATATCTTTATTGCTGAAATGTTTCTCCTGAGGAGCAGGCTTCTTCAGTCAAATAGAGGTAACTTCTACACTGGAGGAAGTGGAGAGGTGATTTTAAGGTGTTCAATTCTTTAGCTTTGACAGGTGTTTAGTTCTGTAGCCTTGATTGAAGGTATTCAGTCTTTTAGCCAGTGTAAAAGTCGTCTTTATTTGGTTGAAGAAGCCTGCTGCACAGGTTCCTCCACAATGACAGAATGGCTCTCAGACATCTACCAAAATACCTCAACTCGACAAACATCTGATGACACTGATACCATAACTTGCATGCTTAATCATTTTCCGAGACATACCAACTGGAAACCTCTACCCCTACAAGAAATCTTTATAAAACAACAATTAACGAAATTCTTCTCACTACAGAACACAGACTGATGCACACCTTACTGACCACAACATTGGCAAAAACTCATCACCTCAGTCAGCTAAGATATCACATTCCATGTGCCAGAAAGAGGATGTGCATTATTAATGTAATGACACTGACCAAGTCACTAAAACTATCGCTAACCACACTGCTGTCATGATACAGTGACATTCCTTCATTTTATAAATGTTATATTACAGGAATATTTTAGAGAAAGCATTCTAGATATTCAAGAGCAACTCCAACTACAACATTTTCCTGTCATCAAAGTTGAAACTTAGGTTAGTCCGGCCTGTGGGTGAAGATAATGCCCAATTATTATTACATTCATGGGAAGTGCTAAACCTGTAGGAGTCATACAGTACCTGGGGATATGGAACTCATTAACACTTGTTTCAAGGAATTGGAGCATATGTCCAATTCCTTAGAATAAGAACCCCTAACGAGCAGACAATATCCAAATAGTTCAGCCGAACTAATATAAAATTCTCACCACCTTTCCTTCTCAATCTCTTAAACACGTCAATGCTTAGAAGTAAGAATTCAAACAAATATCCTAAAAATGCCAAAAGACCTGGTGCTTTGCCCACTCATTTAAATACTGTATACCACAAGTGTAATGCTAAGTTAGTTGAGGAGCAGATCAAAATAATTTACCCTGTAATCATTCTCCTTGGCTTTACTGCAGTGAAGCACAAACCTCATATTCTCATTCATTTTCCTTCTGGATAATGAGAAGGAAGGTTTGTCATATAATCAAGCTGTGACCCAACTTTGTCAATAGGGGAGAATGTCATTCCTACTTCAGAGTTCCATGGTATCCTCAGTATCTAATGATGACCTTTACCATTTAATCCATTTATGATGTTCTCATTTTTACTAAATGTTATCTCTACTTTCTCAGCAAGCACAGTCCTCTTCAGCTATTCTTCTAGCACCTATGCCATAATCCCAAAATAAATTAACCTCCAACCCCAAGACCTTATTCCCACCCTCCCCAATAATTTCAAGTTTTATCTTTTTGGTTAGCCATCCTCAAACTTTACAACCTTGCCCCACCAATCCTGGATGAAAGAAATTAGTTTTGCCTTCACAGGCTCCTTCATCTCAAAGAGAAAACCAATCCATTTTAACCTCTTCTTACCTTGGCAACTGCCAATACCTCTTTGCCTTTATTTTCCTCTCTCACTTCTTGCACCACACCACTTTACTATTCAATGACTTCAGAAACCTTTGAGGTCGATATACATCAGTATTTATTAAAGAGACAAATCCAGAAATGGATTGACAAATCTCATCCTAAATGAGGAAAATCCCCAGGATGCTAGTGATGCAGAGAATTGGACTTTTCCTTCGCTCCTTAGGGTCAAACCTGAAGGACTCCCATTCACCCAGGCGTTGTATGGTCCCTACGGGTTTTGCACTCTCCAAGAATGTAATAATAATATGGATGATAGGGGATCGCTTACAATTAAAGCGTCAACATTAAATACATGGATACAGTTGAGTGCAAGGAGTATAGTAACCATCTCACTTGCAGGAGTGGAACTGATGTGTGCTCCAGTTTCTATACTGGAGTCATCTTTCTACATAACACCACCAATACCAACTGCACCACTGGAATGGCAAGGTGTGTTATCAACATATATATTTTATGGACGAGTGCTGTGTAACTAAGGCATCAATACAACTTCAGATGTCTAATCATACTTGGCTTTAAGACAAAAATTAATTGTGATCCAATAAGGCTCTGCATTAGTGGAAGGTTGTGTGCTTAATTCATGTTAAGCACTAAACCCACACGGGCCATTCAGCGCAAGACGCAGTGGAAGTTTAAGCCTGTCTGCTGAACACAAGACAGATGCACTACCTGTTTGTACTTGCCTATATGCAGTGGAAGGTTTTCAGTCTTTTACGGGTAAGGTAGGGGGAGGTGGTAGTATGCTTTATATGAAGGAGGGTATTAAAACTTGCTGAAGTTGGGTCATAGCTCTTGGCTTGTAAATTCAATGTGTTGAAAATAAGAAATTAAGTAAATACATAAGGCTCTTTTATGAGAGTAGGTGTATAACAATGATGATGCTATGTGTAAATTCTGATAAAAGTGCCTGAAATACCTTGGGAATTTCCAAACATTTAATAAAAGAAAGGCTGTGGACTCCAGACTGATTATCAGCTGATACCATTCCCATGAGATAATGCCAAGAGTGAGAAATTTCGAGGATGTTTGTAAAGCATTTAAAATTACCTTAATGGCTTTTCATTATTATTATACTTATTATTATTATTATTATGGGGAAGCTCTTACTTCGTAGGGGTCGTACAGTACCTGGAGAATGGGAGGCATCAAGTTTGATGGAAATCCAACGAAGGGCAGGGTAGCTGCTTGTGGTGGTGGCAGTGGTGGGCGAGGTAAGTATGAGTTTTATCTCTCATACCTTCAAGTTTCAGAGTAAATGTGACAACATAAGAAAGGAAAACATTCTTAAGGAATTTGAGTTGATACAGAATGTAACAGCTTGTCTGTGGTGAAAAAGGTTACATGTGGCCTTAAAAATAATCCTCGTGTAGTTGATAGGCTTTAAACCCCATTAACCAATCAAGCTTGTCCTTTTATTCTTAAGTTATAATATTTCTTCCTAGCCTAATCCCAGTCTAGATTATCCTAATGATGAAATGATTATGAATGTCATCTAGTATGTATGTTCTGAATTCATCGAAGATAAAGGAGGCCACTTAATCGCCTATAGAATAAACATCTAAAAACTTAGTGAAGTACTGAGTAGGGTGAGGAGCTGGAGGTAAGTTCCTAGTAGCAATTAAACCTGAGGGAAATGGACACGAAAGACATCTTATTTGAAAGTGATTCGGTCCTTGAACCTTGATCGCTTCAAATATCTACGTATTTTTCATCACAAAATTAGGTACATCCATACTGTGCAATATAATATTTACGTTGTGAGAACAAAAGCTGGCTATATTTCTGTTATATTCCATCACACAGAATGGGTTACTACTTTTAGGCACATTGCTACCCTAACCGTGAGGGTTTTGATTACTAGGTGTTCCTTGTATTGCACAAATTGTTATTATGGTCACATGAAAAACAAATGGGAGGTGATTTGATTTTATCAAAGGAAGGGAAGGGCAGTGTGGAAAATACTGTATATTTTCCAGAAATACGGTAATTTATAGGTAAATAGATGGCCTATATTGTATTTAATAACATTTATGTCATAAAAAATGGGAAATTTTCTGCACTTGCGCAGAGAAGACAGTCGCCATTGCTGTTTGAATTGAGAGTAACAGACTTAGTGAATGGGAAGAATTTTTCGTGCTCTAGAGGTTAAAATTGGGCTGACACCTCTCAAATAGGAGGCAAAATTGTTGGATGTGCATTCCTGCATAACTTGAGTATCAGGCGACAGGACAGGACAACTCCAGGAACCTCAGATAAGCTGTCTAATTTATGTTTAAATTCTGGCCAGTAAATTTTTCATAAATGTAGGCAAAAGGGGGGGTCCTGTACATGACACATTAATCTCCAGTCAAATTGGTGAGTGATATTAAGATATATTTTCCTTCTGTTATGTAATTGTGTATATATATAAGCATTTATTATTTTTAATATACAGTCCACAAATTTATATATTTACCAGCATTCCTGGTGATGTATCTTTTATTTGCAATTAATAGGTCCAGAGCAACTTGTGGATATGACAGTGGTAGGTATCGAAGGGGGGCATTTTTTGCGACCTAGGTGTCCCAAATTCCTACTTGTCTAACTGATAAATAATAATTATCTTTGTTCATTTACTGTTATGTGCATAATGATACATTCAGATAAATGCAATTTTCCACAGGCAGCTCCAATTTCTCGGGTCAAGAACTTTACACCGTCACTAAGGCTGAAGGATATTTCTAGGACAAATCGCCTTTTTTCTGTCTTTACCTTAATTGCTCTTATTTTTACATGAAACTATAGTTACAGTTTTTACTGTCTCATCTTCATTGTCACTCTACCCTACGTTCTTATTACATTTTGTCCTTTTGTTTGTTTATTTTTCCAACTTTTTATCCAACATGTCCTAGTCCATGAGTAACTTTGGGGAAGCGCTAAATCCACAGGGGTTATACAGCGGCCTGGGCAATAGGGTGGCCCGGTGGCCTGGTGGCTAAAGCTCCCGCTTCACACACGGAGGGCCCGGGTTCGATTCCCGGCGGGTGGAAATTCCGACACGTTTCCTTACACCTATTGTCCTGTTCACCTAGCAGCAAATAGGTACCTGGGTGTTAGTCGACTGGTGTGGGTCGCATCCTGGGGGACAAGATTAAGGACCCCAATGGAAATAAGTTAGACAGTCCTCGATGACGCACTGACTTTCTTGGGTTATCCTGGGTGGCTAACCCTCCGGGGTTAAAAATCCGAACGAAATCTTATCTTATCTTATCTTATCTTAGGAGGTAATCAGGTTTGAATCGAGGAAGGGTAGGGTAACAACAATCCCTTGGACCAAGAGCCGTTCACCTGCTCCCTGAAAAGTGAGCAGTATGGAAAACAAAATAAGAAGGGCAGGATTACGTTCTCTTCACGAGATAAACAAGATGATAAATGAGACACATGTAACATCTGGTTATCTTTTAGACGTTACGGCATCCAGTGGGTTTATCAATACAATACATGGAAATAATGTGAAGACTAGAAAATATATACAGAAGACAATGGAAGATGAGGCGAAGACTAGAAAATATGTACAGCAGACGCCGCCAAGACAGTGGAGGATGAGGTAATGAACATGGGAGCAGGTGGTGAAGAACACCGTAGTCTTGAGGACTGATTACATTATCTTCCACTGTCTGCTGTATATATTTTCTAGTCTTCACATTATGTCCATGTACTGTATTGATAAATCCTCTGGATGGTGAATTGTCTAAAAGTAAAGATAAGCAAATGTTGCACGTGTCTAATTCATGATGTCGGTATTGAATACCATTGATATACACGAGATAACAAGTGCCGATGAAGGGACGGGGCTGTGTTGATGTATGTATATAACGGGTGAGAGAGAGAGAGAGTCATGATTCCATACTCGTCATGATGAAGACTGTGGTGGTGTTGGTAGCCTGTGTGCTGGGCATGGCAGTTGCCCGTCCAGACCTTCATACTCACCTTTATGGGTAAGCCGCTGCAATGTTTCTCTACGACACGATTCATTACCTTTGTAACTTGTGAGTTCATTACCTTTGAACTTAGTTCATCTATCAAAACTTTGGGGGCCCAGTCCCTGGACCCATTATGTACCTGTGTAATCTTTTGATTACCGCTCAAAGGATGGGTATGGTGTGCATAATAAACATATTAAACTAACTAACTAACGTTCATGTCACAGTAAATAACTTTAGTTATAGAATGCAGGAGGATTAGAACTCGTCTACCTATTACGAGAAGTGAGGAATTCGTGGACCTCAAAACCAATGTTTTGCCTGATTGTGGAAACAATGCCATTGTTTTGGTAAGTGAAGCAATGCTAACAGGAGGGCAAGGGTAATGTGCCGTTTTGTTCTTTATATACTGACAAGAATAGGCACGCCATTGCAAAGGAAAGGTTGTTTTACCTTTAATATTTGACACTGCCAATTATGGGAGCAGGGAATGAGTGGATGTCAAGGACTCTTGGAGTAAACAGCCGCTTTTGTATGTACCGAGGAGTTCAGGGTAAAGCTTAATGACAACTAGGGAGCTTTTCTGATACGAGTATTATCTTTGCAAGGATATAATTTATCTTTCAGGGCTTTTACTGTCAGTAGAAAGGGTACTCGGTCTCCCGTTGGAGGAAGGAGGTGGGGATTAAGTTACCTTCTAATAGTAGTTTAGGAAAATTTAAGTTTGGGAATTGTGGATGGGTTTGGGGCAAATTCTCTTGATATTCTGAGAGATATACAATTATGTTGAAAATGTGGGTCTGCATGGCAATGGGAGATTTTGTGGTACCTAAAAAAACTAATAAAAAAGACTTTTCGAAACAGAAATTTCAAACGTGGGAAAAATAAAAACACAAGAATTAAAGAGAAAACGAGGAATAGTGAAGATGCAAGAACTAAGATTAACTGTGTATAAGAAACAAAAAATCTTACTGCATTTACCATGCCATGGTTTAAAGAACTGAGACATGTTTGCCGAATTCTCATTTCAAGGTTTTAAACCATTCCACAATGACAAGAAATAAGAACGGGTGTGAGGAGGAGCTATATATTAAATAAAGCTTTAACTGTTGCATAAAAAAATGACAAAGTCTGAAAGAACTGACACTGAATCTTTATGATTGCAATTTACTGAAAGAAATGGAAATCTGCTCTTATGCTTACAATACCGACCCCGAACCTATTAAGTATCATAGGGTATGTGGAAAATTGCATTTACTTGGATGTATAATTATATACATAACAGTAAATGATAAAGATAATTATTATTTATCAATGTTACATAGACTAGGAATTTGGGACACCTAGGTCGCAAAAAATGTCCCCCTTCGATACCTACCACTGTCATAACCACAAGTTGCTCTGGACCTATTAATTAAATGAATTATACATCAGGAATTCTGGTAAATATATAAATATGTGGACTGTATATTAAAAAAATGATTATATATAAACACAACTACATAACAGAAGGAAAATATATCTTAATATCACTCACCAATTTGACTGGATATTAAGTTGCATCATACTCAGAAAAACCTCACTAACTAAATTTATGAAAACACTGGCCAGAATTATACACAAATTTAGAGAGCTTATCTAAGGTTCCTGGAGCTGTCTTGTCCAGTCGTCTGATATCTCAAGTTATGCAGGAATGCATGTCCAACAATTTCGCCTCCTATTTGAGAGGTGTCACCCCAATTTCAACCTCTAGAGCACGAAAATTCCTTCCCATCACACCAACGTTGTACACAATTCAAAACCAAGAGGGCTAGTGTCTCTTTTTTTCGATAACATACGTCTTTTAAAAATACAATATAGTGCATCTATTATCCTATAAATTACCGTATTTCTGGAAAATATAAAATATATACACACTGCGGCTGGCCGGACTTCGTTGCTAAACGACTCAAATTACTCCTTCGACAATGGTGGAGGACCTGGGTACATAAAGGATCTGGCATCCACACGGCGACATATTACACAAGATTTAATCACCCTTTTTACACTTTGCCGTCCTTGTGGAATCCAGAAAGTTTCCCTAATACAATTTAAGGTATCTTGTACCCCACCATGCATTACATTTTTATGGGCATTTAGAACAATCAAATTTGTTAGATGATGAGTTTTGGGCAGTAAGATAGGGTGTTTAGCATAATCACCCAATTCAGCATTTTGTAACCTACCTCTGCACCTAATTACATTGTTCTCTAAATACAGCCCCAATTTCTCTATTATAGAACCTTTCACAATTTTTCTTTCCATCATCAATTTAATCTCATTTCCATAGATTTCCTCCTGTACCCTCTTTATCCAATATTCAAGAGGATGTGAAAACTTATATGAAATATTCATCTTGTTTAGAAATTTAAACACCAATTTAGTTACACTGATTAGTTTGGGTAAAGAAGAATACCTATTTATATCAATGGCTAAGGAAGGACAAACTATTGGAGCGGTGGTCACAGTAATTTCAACAGGAGCAATATACGCCTTTTGTACAGGCCAATTAGCTTTATTTACCAACCAGCTCGGTCCTTTAAACCATGATACAGCATTTACAAATTTAGCATAAGGTAAACCTCGAGACAAGAAATCAGCTGGATTCTCCTCACCAGGTATATGATTAAATGTTAACATATGCTGACCCAAACTATTATACTTCTCTTGCATCTGATTAATTTCAGCAACTCTGTTTTGTACGTACACAATTTTACTATTTCCATTACGAATCCATTGTAAGGATACCTCATTATCAGACCAATTACAGTGTCGCTAATATTTATCTCCTGCAACTTATTTCTTATATAATTAGCTAATTTGACACCTATATAAATGGCTGTTAATTCCAACTGAGGTAAGGTACGTGATTTAATTGGAGACACTTTAGCCTTAGACATAACAAGAGAAATAACACTATTACATTGAAAATAAGCAACTGCTCCATATGCCAATTTTTAAGCATCACAAAAAATGTGGAGTACATTTTTCCCATTTGGATTGGCCACCTGGCGTGGGAACTCCAACATTGGATTTTTTTCATAATCACCAATTAATTCATCCCACCTGTTAATGAATTCCTCAGGTAGAATTTCATCCCAAGCACATTTAAGTTTCCATGCTTCCTGAATTAATAATTTCCCTCTTATAGTAAGGGGTGACACTAAACCTAGTGGATCAAAACATTTGGAAACTTCAGCAAGCAAAACTCTCTTAGTTAATTTATTGGGCATACTGTAATTATTAGGTTTTAACATTAACAAATCTCTCTCAGTATCCCAATTTAAACCCAGTACATTACTACATTTTGGCACTTCATCTCCAGGGTAATCTTTACTTATTTTGTCCTTCAATTTGGACGAATTACTATTCCATTCTCTCAGAGGCATATTTGCACTTTGCATTATTTTATTAGCCTCTCCATAAGTCATTAACAGTTCCTCTTCAGTTGACGTCACACCCAGGAAATTGTCCACATAAAATTGTTTGCTCATTACTTTACTCAATGGACTTCCCGTACATTTAAGGTGTGCATTTATCGTCGCTTGAAGTAGGAACGGACTGGATGTAGCACCAAATAATACGCTCCTAAAGCGAAAGGTTTTCAGAGGGCTAAGTGGGTCAATAGGATTCTCAGGCCATAAGAAGCGGGTACAATCCCGGTCAGCCTCTTGTAAACCCACTCTTAGGAAAGCTTTACTTATGTCAGCCGTAAAGGCATAATTTTTCATCCTGAAATTTAATAAGATATCTCCTAATTTTTCCGTCAACGACGGACCTGTCATCAAACAGTCATTTAAACTAGGTACATTTTTGTTACTCCTGGCACTACAATTAAAGACAATCCTCAAAGGAGTGGTCTTAGAATCCTTCTTCACTCTGTGATGTGGCAAATAGTGACCATAAATTTTGGCTTGCTCAGGAGGTACCTCTTCTATAAATTTATTAATTAACTGCTCAGCAATTATATCATTATAGGCAGTTAACAATTCTGGTGTCTTACTCAGTTCGCGGAGCTGAGCCTTTAATTGTCCATATGCCATTCTGAAATTAGTGGGCAATTCTGGATGGTTCAGTCTCCACGGAAGTCGTACCCAGTATTGTCCAGATTCAAATTTTACATCTCTCAGGTATTGTTCTTGAGTAAAAGAATCGTCTGGACTTTCTTCATTTACATTTATTCCAATGCTGTCTAATTCCCACAATTTATGCACTGGCTCAACACCATCCTCTATGAAAGAATTATACTGGGGCACGACTTCATGAGTAAGACACACAGTTATAGTATTTGTAGTTTCCTCTAGTCATGAATTATTATTACGAGGAATCCTACCATACATTACATGGCCTCCTGCAGTCTTCAAAAGGGTGACACCACATTTCTTTACCATACCCTTTACAAAGGAGGTATAATAGTCACTACCTATCAAAATATTTATTGGGCCTACAGAATCATCACTTACACCAGAAGGTGCTAAATTTACATTATATGAGAGTCTTTCTGTAGCTTTACTAAGCCCTACTGTAGATATTTTCTCTGGAAGTCTATCTACAATTACTGCAGTAACACATTTTTTCTCATTGCCCAACCTGACAGTTACATAAACAGTGTCATACAATTGAGCTCTTTTATCTGAGAGAAAACCAGATAATTTTAGAGTTGTAGGATCTCCCATCTGTACTTTCATACCATCAAGACATTTACGTTTAATGAAAGTACGTTGGGATCCCTGGTCTAATAATGCAGTTACATTTTTTGATTTATGCCTTTTATCATCAATTTTTACCTGTAACACAGGTAAGGCTACATCAGCAAAACCATCATTATTAACATTAGCAGCAATTTTTACATTAGCTACTGTTGTGTCAAGATTGTCAACATTATCAATATTATCAACATTATCATATAGACCTTTACACATGACTATATGGTGTCTTCCTTTGTGACATTGATAACAGAAGTTTAATTTGGCATAACAATCCTTTACATTGTGATTACCCAAACACCTGATACATCTGTCAAGTTCCTCCAATCTTTCAACTTTATCATTCCATGAATTGTATGCATTGCAATTCTTAGAAACATGAGTACCCTTGCAGAAGAGACAATCTCTCCTTTCTTTGACTGGTTTCTTATTAACTGGGCTACAATTAGGAGGGCACTTATTCTTCTTACCTTGTGGAGAATCATTATTTCTGATTCTTGCTACTTGATATGCACCTATGCAACTCTTTTTAGGAAATGAAATTGGATTATTAACATTGGGATAATTTTTCCCTTTGTGAAACTTGACAGATACCTCAGAGTTATTATGTGTTGCATCTTTAAAATGAGTTGGTTGGCTGGTCTGCAACTGAACAATTAATTCTTGTAGACCTAGTCTTATTTCCTCCAGACCAAAATAACCCTTGTGATATTTATTCGAGAGTCATTCAATTGTTTTACAGCTTAATTTATTCTGTACCATGGCACTCAATAACCAGTCTGATTCCTTCAGATTATATTTATTATTTAAAGTTTTGAGAGTGCTCTCCAGTTTAACTCTAAACTGCTGTAAACCTTTGTAAGTGTGATCTGGGGATTTTAAATTAACAATGATATTCACTAGATCCAACCTACTTTGTTTTATATTACCATAAGTGACCTTCAACAAGTCAACTGCTTCCTTGTTAGAGTCATTTTCATTGGGAAAGGCTTGTATGAGTATGTGAGCATCTCCTCTTACCTGTCCTCTGAGGTAAAATAATTTAGTTACACAGGCTAGGTCACTCCTGTCATGCACAGCTGCTTTAAAAATTGACCAAAATTCCTCCCAATTTCCTCCAGGATTAAACACAGGCGAACACAATTCTGGGAGTTTTGGCAAAGACATTATTTGTTGGAGCAGACTGACCAACTGCCTGGTTTACACATTTTAATTTATTCAAGGCCTGACTTTTACAAGAAAGAATCTTTTCCTCTAATTCATAATACTGATTAATCATGAGATCTATTTCAGTCTCATCTACACAGTTTACTAATAAATCTCCTTCATATTTGTTGTAATATAATTTGTATGGATCATATCTATTCACTAAAGCATCTAAATACAATTTTAAATCATCAGTATTCACAGTTTCTTGAGTCATTAATTCCAAGCATTTATTGTATGCTTTTGTTACATGCCCCTTCCTAGCCTGCAGTGAAGCTTTTTTTTTGCTCTATATTCCATATATTTGTCTTCTACATTAATTTCCTCAATTTCAGCCATGATGCAATGTATTAAATTCAACTTAATAACACTGATTATGTACTAAATTATGCACTTTATGAAGGTAAATAGTACAACTTACCTTTAAATAAATTCCAGCTACTTGAGCTTAGCAATTACATGTATAATATAAATTTTAAATGTACATTAATACAAACTTGGCTCATCAAAATTAATATTATACAAATTAATAAATCCTTGCCAGAATTTGGCATAGCAAAATTAATATACACATTAATAATTAGCTACACATGACTTATCAATTACACATACACTGATATAAATCTTGGCCAGAATTGTCTTATCAAAATTATGTCTTATCAAAATTAATATGTCCCCTCATGGAAGGTTCCTTGATGTTGGTGAGGGGCTCTTGATTTAGGGAATTGGATCTGTGCTCCAGTTCCCCGAATTAAGCCTGAATGCCTTCCACATCCCCCCCCCCTGGGCGCTGTATAATCCTACGGGTTTAGCGCTTCCCCTTGATTATAATAATAATAATAATAATAATAATAATAATAATCAAAATTAATATTATACAATTAATATAAACTTAGTCAGACTTGACTTATCAAAATTAATATTGTAATAATTATAATCCACTACACATTAAATAAATTTGTGAACTTAACATCCACCTCCTTCTGTCATTTCATATATAATTATTAAGTAATTAACTAATTAATGACTTCACTAATTACCACCGGTTCAAGAAGGACGAACGGGCATAATTAAATGTGGAAAATTGCATTTACTTGGATGTATAATTATAAACATAACAGTAAATGATAACAAAGATAATTATTATTTATCAATGTTACATAGACAAGTAGGAATTTGGGACACCTAGGTCGCAAAAAATGTCCCCCTTCGATACCTACCACTGTCATAACCACAAGTTGCTCTGGACCTATTAATTAAATGAATTATACATCAGGAATTCTGGTAAATATATAAATTTGTGGACTGTATATTAAAAAATTATTATATATAAACACAATTGCATAACAGAAGGAAAATATATCTTAATATCACTCACCAATTTGACTGGATATTAAGTTGTATCATACTCAGAAAAACCTCACTAACTAAATTTATGAAAACACTGGCCAGAATTATACACAAATCTAGAGAGCTTATCTGAGGTTCCTGGACCTGTCTTGTCCAGTCGTCTGATATCTCAAGTTATGCAGGAATGTATGTCCAACAATTTCGCCTCCTATTTGAGAGGTGTCAGCCCAATTTCAACCTCTAGAGCACGAAAATTCCTTCCCATCACACCAACGTTGTACACAATTCAAAACCAAGATGGCTAGTGTCTCTTCTTTTTTTCGATAACATACTTCTTTTAAAAATACAATATAGGGCATCTATTATCCTATAAATTACAGTATTTCCGGAAAATATTTACAGTATTTTCCACAGGGTAGCTTCTTTGGGACGAAATTGTCAAGGCTTCAAGAAATGAAAATGTAGTAATCTTGGGAGAATTTTAATTTTAGCCAAACAGACTGAAATTACTTGACCAGAAATTTGTAATACACTGATATTCTTGAGGTAGTCCAAAATCATATTTTTAAACAGTGTGTAACAAAACCAAAGAGAGGAAATAACCTGTTTGATTTGGTTCCTGGAAAAAAAAAAACGATAAATAATCTGGAGATCATGGAAGCCCTTAGCAGAAATGATCAATTTGTTACATATAACATTTGCTACATCACATACCTGGTAAATTATTATTATTACATTCATAGGGAGGGCTAAACCGGTAGGTTTCATACAGCGTCTGGGAAATGGCAGGCAATCAGATTCGATTCCAGGAGGGAGAGATTATCTCTATTTTCTTGGATAAAGAATCCTTCACCGGTATCTAGGCCATGATGGAAGTCAATAAATTCGGTAAAATGTCTAGGTTATCATCAATATGTCTGAGCGCTTTTTAGATTTTAATAAATCACACAACAATAATAGCAGGACATAAGAGGATGATAGTTTCAGAAGAGAATGATAGCTCCGGTTTCTTGAATGAAGAACCTCTCACCTTCTGGAGGAGAGTAACACTGCAAATTAAGCATAATTTGAAGATTATAAACACTAAGTGCATCAAATACTGTATTTCATGAAGTGTTATACTTTGTATATTTGTAAACCCTTGTGGGTAATTCAAGGTAGGGGGCAGTGGAGGCTCGACCCTCCCTCCGCTAATGAGGCCCTATTTTTGTCGACTCTGGCTGTTGGTCTACCATACCAGCACATCTGGTGTTAGCAATGCTTATTTCCGTGATGTTGAGAAATTAATACGTATTCAGTTTTATTTTGATTTGTTCTCAGAGCACAGGTGTTGCGGGTGGTGCCGGAGGAGGCAGCCCAAGTATATTACCTCAAAGGTCTTCAGCTGCAAAACTACTTTGACTTCTGGACGGAGCCTCGAGCCATCGGTAAGATAATGTAATATATCCTTTTCCTTCTCCATTCAAGGCAGTTGAGCTGTCTAAACTTTATAGAACTCCACTAGATTATAAGACCCGCGTCAAAAGAAATTTTCACCTTTCTCCTGACTAATAATATACCGCCACCATATCAATGTAGCTTGTTCTGCCAGGCTCACCCGTGGACATCATGACGACAGCCTTCCAGTTACCATTGCTGAAACACACACTCACTCACGTCGGCCTCGAGTTCAGAACTATGATTAGCAACGTGGGAGAACTGGTGGCCCAGCAGAAGGCAGCCAGGGAGGGTGCTCGTGCCAGTGGACCTCTTTCCTTGGATTGGACCTCTTACTATGATTATGAGGAAGTGAGTAATCTACCTCTGTATAACTTTGTTATTACCTTGGAACTTTTTCTTTCCACAGGAACCCAAAAACCACTGCTGGGAAATAATGTATACTTCTCTGAACCTGCTGTGTTGCAGGTGTGAATGTATGTATACTCAACCAAGTTGTGCTTATGTGAATCGACACTCAGCTCCTCGCTCGGCCTCTTATAACATTTTGATCCATCTGTGTTCCCTTCATTCTGGCCCTCTTAATTCAGACTGTCTGCACTATCCTTTCCTCTTAAAATCATATCTTGCCAGGTCCTTTCCACTAAAGTCATCAGGATCAGATACTTCAACTTCTTACACTGCAATAATATCGCTCGCGCGCGCTCTGTATTCACCTATTTGTACTTACCTATTTGTGGTTCAGGGGTCGATCATAGCTCCTGGCCCAGCCTCTACACTGATCGCTACTAGGTTCTCTGTCCCCCTGCTCCATGAGCTTTATAATACCTGTTCTTAAAGTATGTATGGTTTCTTCCTCCACTACATCACTTGCCTGACTATTCCACTTCCTGACAACTCTATGACTAAAGAAATACTTCCTAACATTTCTTTGACTCGTCTGAGTCTTCAACTTCCAATTGTAACCCCTTATTTCTGTGTCCCATCTCTGGAACATCCTGTTTTTGTCCACCTTGCCAATTCCTCGCAATATTTTATGTCATTATCATGTCTCCCCTAACCCTCCTGTCCTCCAATGTTGTCAGGCCGAGTTCCCTTAACCTTTTTTTTGTAGGACAATCCCCTTAGCTCTGGGACTAGTTTTATAGCAAACCTTTGCACTTTCTCTAATTTCTTGACGTGCTTGACTAGGTGTGGATTGCAAACTGGTGCTACATACTCCAATATGGGCCTGACGTACATGGTATACAGTCTTCAACGATTCCTTATTGAGGTGTCAGAACGTTATTCTCAGGTTTGCAGGCGCCCATATGCTGCAGCAGTTATCTGGTTGATGTGGGCCTCAGGAGATGTGCTCAGTATTATACTCATTCCAAGATCTTTTTCCTTGAGTGAGGTTTGCAGTCTTTGGCCACCTAGACTATACTCTGTCATCGGTCTTCTTTGCCCTTCCCCGATCTTCATGACTTTGCATTTAACGGGGTTAAATTCAAGGAGCCAGTTGCTGAACCAGGTTTGTAGCCTATCCAGGTCTCTTTGTAGTCCTGCCTGATCTTCATCCGATTTAATTCTCCTCAGTAACTTCACATCATCTGCAAACAGGGACACTTCTGAGTGTATCCCTTCCGTCATGTCATTCACATATAACAAAAATAGCACAGGTTCTAGGACTGACTCCTGTGGAACCCCGCTCGTCGCAGGCGCCCACTCTGACACTTCGTCACGTGCCATGACTCCTTGTTGCCTCCCTGTCATATATTCTCTGATTCATTGCAGTGCCTTTCCTTTGTGTGTGTGTGTTTGTGTGTACTCACATATTTGTTGTTGCAGGGGTCGAGTCACAGCTCGTGGCCACGCCCCTTTTCACTGATGGCTACAAGGTGTGTGCGTGCCAGCGCGCGCGCGCTCAGTACTATTGATCAGCTTTACCACTGCAAGAGCCTAATCATATTTGCTCTTGAAACTGCGTATGACTTTTGTCTCCAATTATCTCTTCATCTAGTTGGATCCACTTACGCACTGTCATGAAACTTAGAAAGCGATTTCCAACATACTTTTAGCTTCTCAACATAATTTACTGTCATCAAATACTGGCTTCCATTTTATTCATCTCATACAACCTCTCCGTGTTAACTGTTATCAGAACCCTTAAAGTTTTCTTATATCATAGCCATGTCTTCTCTGGTTCTCTTCTTTTAGAGTGGTTAGGTCTTTTATCGTTGTTAGGTTGAGTACCTAAAGTTTCTCCCCGTTGTTTACTTCCTTCAGTTCTGGCACTAATCTTCACTCGAACCTTTGACTCATCGGCTGATATATTATCTTTAGTCTCACATCAACAGCAAACAGTGATTCATGGGAATAAATTTCCCCTGACAGGTAATTTATTATTTTAAACTCAGAAGGGTCAAGCATCGGAAAGACATTTCCCTTTACTATTCAGATTCTCCTTTCTCATTTTCACATTAATTGCTTTTTCAAGTATCCTAGGTTCAGTAAGGATGCTGATTACATATTTCCTGCAAGATCGTTATCAGCCTCTGACTATACTGTATTGAAAGCTTTCTTCTACTTGGAGCACGTTCGGGATCAACGCCCCGTGGCCCAGTCATTGACCAGGATCAGGGACACCTGTTTGTTGTTCCCACTGGACACATCTATTCTTTTGAAAAAAAATCATCCTTATTTGTCTCATTTACTTTAATTGCGTTCTTAAGTATCCTACAATTCACCTTTTTTTGTGATGTATTTTGACCCTGACCATATTTGTAGGTTCATTTTTTGTCAGTTTTATCATCGATTGAATGTTCTTTAAAAGCTTCAATAGGTGATCGTTTCAACGTAGTCCTTAGTTGGCCACGCCCCGTGGCCCAGTCCTTGACCAGGCCTCTCGGTGGATCAGGGCCTGATCACCTGGCTTTGTTGTAAATCCTCACGATGGGAACACATCCTATGCCTCGTTTTGAAAAAAAAAATCAATACCTTATTTGGTCTCATTGCTTTAATTGCGTATAATATCCTCACCAACCCGTTCACTTCTTTTTTTGTGAGTGTGTTTTTAGACCCCTGACCATATTATGTGGTTAAATTTTTTTTTGTCAGTTTCATCATAACGAATGAAAATTTTAAAAGCCAATAGGTGAAAAAATCTTGTTCAGACAGTAGTACGTCTTAGTTTAATAAAGACGACCATCTGCCTGTGATAACCGTTAGAATCATGTTATTTAGCACTGGTATAGAAGGATTTAGAAATAATTATTGTGTATGTGTCGTTTGTTACTGATATTAAAAGTATTTTTGGTTATTGTATGTGAAGTGCATTAATTTGCAGACGCTGAGCACGGGATTCATGTGCTGTGATCGTCCACGATGCTAGTGAGGAATAAAAATCTCTGGCAGTCTTTCATCTAGTTGTATATATAAATTTACGCAGATAATGGCATGGTTGGACACCCTGGCTACCGAGTATCCGGAACTCTGCACCGTGGAAGAAGTAGGGAACAGCTACGAAGATCGTGTCATGAAGCTGCTTAAACTAGGGAAAGGTGGCGCTGACAAGCCTATCATTTTCATCGACGGAGGTAACGTACACTAAAGTGTTATTATATATTTAAAGCTAGTGTGTTGCAACAATAACCTACGAGGTAGATAGAGAGACCGATGCATTGCCACAGGTTAGTCAGAGAGGAATAGATGTGGCGTATCACTATACAGGCTATACTAGATAGGTAGGGAGACCAAAGAATGGATACAGGGAGACGTGAAAGGGGTACACGGGGTATATTGTATCACTTCCTATTATAATCATGGGGAGCGCCAAACCCGTAGGGATTATACAGCACTGGGGGGGAGGAAATTATTCAGGCTCAATTCAGGGAACTGGAGCACAGATCTAATTTCCTAGATCAAGAGCCCCTCACCAGCGTCAAGGAACCTCCCTGGAGGGGGGAGGGGGTGCTGAAGCATGGATACAGGGCAGAGGCAAGTGTTCATCAATGTAACACTCTTGGCAGGCATCCACGCCCGAGAATGGATTGCGCCGGCCACTGTGACCTACATAGTGAACGAGCTGGTGACACATAGTGACACCTACGATGACCTTCTCTCTAATGTCAACTTCTACGTCATGCCTGTCATCAACCCTGACGGATATGCTTACACCTTTACTGATGTGAGTTTTTTCCAAGTTTTGCAAAAGACAATAACTAACATATCTAAAAGAAATACTTTTTTTTTTACAGAGAAACTAACAGGCTTTGATAATTGATTCAAGTGTTTATATCTGTACCTCCGTAAAATATATAAAAAAAGAACGTTTATTACTTGTAGAATGTCTTCCGTAGCTGTATGATGTTTGGCTCTACCTAATCTCATCTAAACTTTTAACAGGACCGTTTATGGCGTAAGACTCGATCTCCGACGAATTCAGTTTTGGGTTGCCGAGGTGCCGACCCCAATAGGAACTGGAGCTTCCACTGGAATGGTTAGTCACTACTTTCAGTTAAATGTATACCTGGAGGGGGGGTTCGGGGGTCAACGCCACCGCGGTCCGGTCCGTGACCAGGTCTTGTGGTGGATCAGGCCCTGATCACCCAGGCTGTATGTGACAAAGCTGAAATTATGTGTGAGTGTCTCTGCTATGGTAATTTTTTTTCAGATCTAGAAATATGGCGAGATGCACTTGATCCAAAGAATTCATTATTTAAAACCTCATCGTGTCTTCCAACAGAGGTGGGTGCTTCGGACAGTCCTTGTTCTGACATCTATGCGGGTCCCGAACCCTTCTCTGAGGTGGAGATGAGAAACGTGCGTGACCAGATCAACAAGTACGCAGACAATATCAAATCTTACCTCACCTTCCACTCATACTCCCAGCTGTGGATGTACCCCTGGGGCTACACCTCCGACCTCCCAGAAGATTGGCAGGACCTGGTGAGTGCAGCATCCGTATTTTCTCTTCAAACACGATCATACCAAAGCTCCTTAGGAATGGAATACAGCAAACATTAATTTGCAAGAAAATCATTGAAAAAATGCTACAAAAATCGTGTGTTCACACACACACACACAGCGAAGAAACGGGGCAAGGAACTGCGACTCGACTCCTGCAACCACAAACAGATGAGTAAAACACACACACACACACACACCACACACACACACACACACACACACACACACACACCACACACACACACACACACACAACCACACACACACACCCACACACACACCAACACACACACACCCCCACACACACCCACACACACACCCCACACACACACCCACACACACACCCACACACACACCCACCACACACCCCACACACACACCCCACACACACCACACACACACACACACACACACACACACACACACACACACACACACACACACACACACACACACACACGTACTCATATACAACAGGCCTAGTGTCTAATCGACATGTGCCTAGGACAAAATGGTAACTAACACACACACACAAAAGATGGACAGAGGATGTTCCAGAGATGGAACACAGCAACAAGGGGTCGTAGTTGGAAACTGAAGACTCAGATGAATCACAGTGATATTGGGAAGTATTTCTTCAGTCACAGAGTTGTCAGGAAGTGGAATAGTCTGGGAAGTGATGTAGTGGAGGCAGGATTCACACATAGCTTTAAGAAGGGGTATGATAAAGCTCATGGAGCAGGAAGAGTGATGTGATAGCGACCAGTGAAGAGGCGGGGCCAGAGTGTGATCGACCCT